CGGTAAATCTTAAATTTGGCCGGAATTATAAAAATCTTAATTCCGGCTGAAGTTAAGTATTACTTATATATTCAATTAAAATATTTTATATTCATTTTCATGACCTCTATAACTTAAAACTAGATGAAAAAATCAAATTATAGTGTATATTAGTTTTATTAGCATGAAAATTTTTTAAAAATTCAATATAATAGATTTTCAATATATAGAAATTTTTTCGCTAAACCGGATATCCTGATAAACCGGATATTTTTAGTGGAACCGATAGATCCGGTTTATCGAATTTCACTGTGTATATACTTACTTAATAATTGAAATCACTATGAAAATTATGGATTTTGTTGTTATGGAAGTTGAAATAACAATGTAATTCTTTGAATCTTTTACTTAGTAATTGAAGTCACTATAAAGTTATGGATTACATTGTTATAATGGCTAAAATCACAATATAATCTTTGAAGAAAAAAATTTAATAATGCAGTTTTGAACAGAATACCAAAACTGCAGAATACTATATAAATTACAAATGTTTTAAAGTTACTAAAATATTTAGAAAACTGCTCTTTGTAATTTTGTAAAATCAATAAAAATCATTATTGTCATATTAATATATAAAAAAATTACTTTTTAACTTGAATAATAATTTATATAATTTATATAATGTTTATATAAAATTTTATTTTTAATATTTTCATTTTTACCAGCATAAATAATAGTGTTGCATTCTTAATTAGCTTTAAGTAATTTTTCCAAATTATTTAATAAAAAATTTATAAATAAGGATTTTTGTTTATACATTCAAATCATCTAATTGAACTTAAAAAACTCAAATTTCTGGTTTGATTGCATTGAAGATTTTCACTTCAAATGGGATTTGTGCAATAAATGTAAGTAGAAAGACAAGACAAATTCACCAGACTGAGCTAATCATTTAAACATGAAAGTACAGTATATACTTTCAAGGTTATTGTTAAAAATAAAATAATTTGCCCATAAATTCTTTAATATCTTAGGCATGCTGAATTCACTGATATAATGATACTTTCTTAATAAAAAAAAAATCCTTTCGCTTTAATGACTATATATTTATAAATATTAACTTACAAGAATGTATGAACATATCATATACACTGAAAGATAATTTATGTAAAGTTGAGAAATTTAGAAATGAAAAGCATTTAAACAAAAATAAACGAATAAAACCGTTAGACATATAGTATTAGCTGGGATTTGTGCTAGAAATTTAATTGGCGATTCGTGAGTCAAGTGATGAAAATGATAATAAAATTCGATGGAAATTTATTGATTAAAAACTGCATTCCTGAATGTGAAGTTGTTCACAAATTTCGCTAGGCAAATGTCTAAAGAACGCTGTTTTACTTCAAAACTTTTAGGAATTTGGGCTTATTTCTCCAACATTACGGTTTTTATGTAATAACAATAATTGATAAATTCTTTACATGTTGAAGCTGGTGAACTTGAAGAAGAGAACATCCTAAAAGTAAATACCATACAAAATTGGATAAATACATATGCCTACGTTTTAAAAGAAAGAGCTACAGATCGTGATTTGGCTAATGAGTGCGAAAATCAGAATAAAAGTTGTTTACAACTTAGTTTAAAAAAATTGCACTTTCAGAAGACTTATTTTACCTTATAACATATAGTAAATGCCGCCAAAAAAAAATTGTACGCTTGATAATGGCTTTGAAAATAAAAGTATGACATATACTTTATTGCTTGTTGTATGTAATTTTCTCTAGTTGACTCGCAGATCATCAATTAATGAATAATTGTATATATACCTACAAAATCGATTAATTCAACAACCTTAAATTGATAAGTTTAATTATCATTCACAATACATTTTATTATTATTAAATCTTGCCACTTTTTGCCATCATTCTTCTATTTTCTAGTGTCAGTGGTTTGAAATTTTAGAACATTTTTTAATTATAAATGGTTTTTTGGTAATTCTTCCAACAACTCTTTGGGCCTTAAGTGTAGTTAGAATTTAATAAAGATTAAAATACGATTAGAACCACACACAAAATTCAAAATATATACTGTATAAAATTATAAGTAATTTGTCCAAGATTCCATATATATAAGTAGATATGCTCATAAATATCTCTCTCTTCATCACTTTCAATAAATATAATCATTTTTACGCTCAACATTTGAATCTCTTATTTTGCGATTTTGAGAATTCTCCAACTGCCGAAGCAAAATACATTTAAAATTAATAGAATTAAATAAATAACTTATATAATATCTACATATAATTTAAACTAACTAAATGCTTTATTTAAATAGATTGTAAGTTATAAGTAAGTAATCATAGAATTAAATAAATAATTCACAACCTATATTATTAAATAATTTTTTTAAATAAAGAATTTAGTTAGTTAAATTATAAATAATTTCGTTGTACCTGATATCACCCTCTGAGATAGATGCGATTATGTAACGAGCAACTTCACTTTCTTTGACGATCCACCTTTATTAAAAAAAATCAAGAAAAGATGAAAATTTAATACAAAGATTCATCTTTAGCTTTTCTTTTCTCCTTTGTAAGACACTTCTATTATTTAAGGAAATTAAGAAGTTATACATCAGGAAATTTGTTTAGGCGCAATTTAGTGTAATATTTCGAAGGTGGTGTAAAATTTCGAAATATTACACTAAAAACGTAATATTACAAAAGTTTACGCTCTTAAATTTGAATAATTATAGTAATTTAAGAATATCTCGCTATCTACTGATCCAATCAAGACGATCTATAGC